AATATATATATATATATATATATATATATATATATATATATATATATATATATATATATATATATATATATATATATATATATATATATATATATATATATATATATACATATATCAATACGTATACCTGCATGTATATTATAAAGTATGATTTCCGGTTAGACGTGCATATAGATGGTGTTAATCCAACGTACATGATAAATTCTCTCTTTTTCTCTCTCACTTTTTCCTTTCCTAAATTATAAATCCGATATATATATCGACTTGTGAATAAACCGTAAAATCTTAACCGACGTTTCTTCGATAATCTGCTCTTTGATGAGATAAACGTCATTAAAAAAGATTTATATTTAAATTATTCTTGAGTCTTCTCGACAGTTTGTTCACACGACATCATCATGTTTTTCTACTCGATATAAATTATCTGAAAATACAAACAAAACTCGAGAAAGATGCAATTACGAAATAGTATCAATGAACGCAACAAAGACTTCGATTCTACTCGATTTATTTCAGAGTGATGAAATGAACTCATTATCGAAATGGAAACGCGATTCACTGCAGACGATACTTTGTCAAATGCAATCTGAAACTTGTTGAAAATTTTCAAAACTCACCTAACTCCTCTACTTCTTTCTAAGACCTCTCAAACGAGACAAATAGACATTTAATCCTTGGTTTTCTTTATAAAACAAATATTAAGTGCAATTTGAGTTTTAATTAAATATTTATATATGCACGTGCATCTTCGAGCAATTCACATGCAGAATTAAAGGATTAAAAAGATTAAAAAAAGTCACAAAATATTTTGATGCATGCGAGAAAAAAATTAAACCATTTATATTTATATTTATATTAACCATTTATATTTATATTATTTTAAATAATTTTGTCTTCAAAACCAGAAAAGGTGATACTGTCATTTGCATTTCATTTGAACCGACAGAACCGAGCTTCTCTTCAGTTATGATACCAACATTTATAGATTTCCGATAAAAATCTCTCCGAGAGAAAATTATGATCAAATTACGATAAATATCAATTTTATAATAAACTTATTTAAATATTATCTTATGTTACATGAGAGAAGTAAGATAAATAAAATTAAATGATATATTTATACGTGTCGTTAATATAATATCAAAATCCTTCAATGTAACTGTACGCTTGGTGAGAAAATTCAAATATGAATGCAAATAGATGGCAGAGAAATGAGCAAACGTATTTTGCTGAAGTAAAATGAGAAATGGATCGTGAGAAAAGTGAAAATAATTGTAAGATGTGTAACATAAAAATTACGGTTTTGCTAGATAATTCTTTTTGCGTATGTTCTACCCATATACGTATATAAAGAAAAATATAATTAATGGCATAATGCTTTCTATTTACATTGGAACGATAATCTTATTTCAGAGAAATAGAATTTAGGGACTCTGTCTAACAAGCAACGTGTACTTTCTTTGAATGAATAAATATTTTATCCATTTAATCCATTCAACATGATCCTAACTTTAAGATCCCTCTTAAAGTGGCGATTCATAAAATCTTTTATATTTAATTAACTTTTAACCAACTTTTTATAAATAATTCACATTTTTAAACAAACGTTTCTTTAAAAAACTAACATTGAAAAATTAAACAGTTCATTAATGTACTTACTAAATGAGTTTATGCAAGAATTTTTCTTTCTTTCTACGAAATTATTAGATTAAGAGATATAGACAAAGAGAAAGAAGGAGAGAGAGAGAGAGAGAGAGAGAGAGAGAGAGAGAGAGAGAGAGAGAGAGAGAGAGAGAGAGAGAGAGAGAAAAGGGAAAGAAAGAAAATATATAGAAACTAGAATATTTTATAAAAAGCAAACTATGTATACAATATATATTACTATAACAGAAGTAATTAGATCTTCGAATAGGATGCAAAATTTCTATGCATTTAATTATTTTGTTATGATTATGGATAATAAAATAAAATTAAAGTACATATTTTGTTAAAAATATCAATAATTTCAATCATTGAAATATATGATGCGGAAATTAAATACATATACTTATAAGATTTTTATAGAACGAGTACCTTTTCGATTTGAATTGAAAATACTATTTTAATTCGAGAAAAAGAGATACGACTTTAGCAAGAAATATATCTGATTGTTTGAGTGTATCCACTCTACTTCGATGAGGAGAAAGTATCTCGCGATAAACATCTATTTTATGCAGAATTTCCTCGTGTAGATTCTTTTGTAATCAAACCATTCTTGACGCCGTAAGCTCGACCTTATGCTCCCTTTTACGTCCTCATCGATTCCTGCTGGATTCTGTATAATCTTGATTCCTATGGGAGTCACCGACCGCGACGTGGAACGAGACATTTCATTGGCACTTTTTCAATAAAAGCTCGAACCCTTCTCCCTTCGGAAAAACGAATTTTTGCAATACCTCGGCACAAGTTACGCGATAAAATAAAATCGGACAATGAAGATTTTTTTACCGCGATAAGGAAATGAGAAACAAGATAGATAAAAAAAAAGACTGAATAACTTCATAGGCGAAATTTTCACAGGAAAGTTTTCTAACTTGTATTGCCGCAGGATGCATTATCTTTGGTTCCGACCAAGAAGTCGCCGGAGTCATGAGAGCGGTCAGACGTTGCAATGCAACCGGCGTTTTTTCTTGGATCGGGAGTGATGGCTGGAGTGCAAGAGGATTAGTGAGTAACGGTAACGAGCCGGAAGTCGAGGGCACTCTATCGGTTCAACCTCAGGCGAACCCCGTTAAGGGTTTCGAAGAGTACTTCCTTAACTTGACTGTTGAGAACAATCGGAGGAACCCGTGGTTTGTTGGTAAGGGAACCAAAGGATGGTAGTGTACGAAACTTGGCGAATTCTAGTTTAGTACGATGACCACAATGTACATATGTACACACACACACACACACACACACACACACACACACACACACACACACACACACACACACACACACACACACACACACACACACACACTATCTACTACGTGTAGTTAGTTAGTAAGTAACTTAACTACTACATATATATAGTAGTATAATATATTATATATATTAATACATAACTACGTAATAACTTATTAGTATTATAACTTATTAAGTTTAAGTTAAGTTTCTTACTTACTTATATATATATATACGTACGTACGTTACTTAACTTACGTTAACGTAACGTTTAGTTACGTTAACCTTACCTTAATATATATATATTATATATTACTTACGTATTATATTACTTATCTTACGTTTACGGTTTACTTTTACGTTAACGTTAAACGGTTTAACGTAAAGTTTAAACGTTTTTAAACTTTTAAGGTTTTAAAAATTTTAAATTTTAAACGTTTTTTAAAACGTTTTTTAAAAAACTTTTTTTAACCGTTTTTTTAAAAACTTTTTTTTTAAAAAACCTTTTTAAAAAAACGTTTTTAAAAAACTTTTTAACCTTTTTAAAAAGGTTTTTTAAAACCGTTTTTAAAACGTTTAACCGGTTTTTAACGGTTTAAACGTTTTACCGGTTTAACGTTTAAACGTTAAACGTTAAACCGTTAACGTTAACGTTTAACGTTAAACGTTTAACTTTAACGTTAAACGTTAAACGTAAACGTTAAACGTAAAACTTTAAAAAGTTTAAAACCGTTTATTTACGTTTAACGTTTAAGTTAACGTTTAAGTTAACGTTACGTAACGGTTAAGTAACGTTAAGTTACGTTACTACGTTAACGTAACCTTAAACTTAACAATAAAGTAAATTAAATAAAGTAAAAAAACTAAAAACTTAAATTAAGTTTTAGTTTACGTCGTAACGTTAACCTTAAACTAAACACGTTAAGTACGTTAGTTTACGTTAGGTAAAGTAAGGTTAAGTATAATAGTATACTTATATAATTAATATTATATATATATATATATATATATATATATATATCATTTAAAAAATAAACAGTAGTATGAATCTGTGGACAAAACTCCGTTCTGTTGCACAAGTTTTTGAAAAATTTTATATGTATGTGTGTATTGACAAAATGGTGAGGAAAAAAATGCGAAGATTTTTCTTTTTCTCAGAGATATGCATCACGACCTTTGCCATGGAAAGCCGGGATTGTGCGATGAAATGAAACCGACTAAAGGAACAACGCTTTTGCAGTATCTGCGCAAGGTGGCTTTCGAGGGTAAGCTGACAAAGCATTTCTTCTCTGTCTCTCTTTGGAAAAGGTTTTAAAGTGCGAATATCGATCTAGTGCAATTCTAGTCATTGGAATTTGTATTATACGATACGTTCGTCTTTTCGATATTTTTACAAAAGTTATGTTAAATAAAAGATATAGATACTCCCACTATATTACCGTGATTAGCTGCTTATACGTCTCGATCAAGTTTTCATGATACTCATAGGCGATCGAACGACTACGTTTAAGGTCTAAGCGGAGACAAATTTAGATTCGACAAGAACGGCGACGGACCAGCGCGGTACAACATCATACATTTCAAGCAAACCGAAACGGGCAAGTACAAGTGGATTCGCGTTGGCGAATACTTGGAAGGCGTGCTGCGACTGAACATGTCGGGTAAGCTTGTCCATTTTCATGTTACGAGACAGATCCCTATCGTGAACGTGTCCGTTGTACACCTATAGATGCTGTCCGTATACGGTCCGTAATACTCTACATTGCCGTTGTGCATGTATTTGTTTTAGAAATCCAATTTAAGCTCGGACATCCTCAGCCACCCGAAAGCGTGTGCTCCTTGCCTTGCGAGATTGGTCAGGCAAAGAAATATGTCGAGGGTGAGAAATGCTGTTGGCATTGCTTTAATTGCACTCAATATCAGGTGCGTTAACGATGCGTTGTTGAGATAATTAACCGCCTGCTAGACCTTATTTAATATTTGACCTGTTTCCTTCCGTTTATTAAAGAGATATGAGATAAGAGATATAAAATACATCCTCGAATTGTAATAATGAAAACGTATCTTCATATCATAGCTTCGCAATGTGTACATTTAGCTAATAATTGAGATTTGTGTGATATAAACGTGATTTTGAAAAATATCATATACCGCCTTTATTCTCTAAAGTTCTCGTTGAATGCGAGTTAGATAGCGTGTAGATAAAGGATATTTATGCGACTCTTTCATAGCGTGTTGAATAGTTTTGTTCGCGTTATATATTTTTACCTTCTTATACTTTCCTTATATCGTTTTCAATGTTGAGAAAAAGTCATAGGATATATTCTACAAGTAATAAATACGGAATAGAATATCACATATCTCGGGGAAAAATGGAAAGATATCAGAACATATAACTGTAATTAAGATTAATGACGAAAGATTGGCAAAAAAAATTATGCATAAATTATGCAAATTAAATTATATCAAATAGAAATATCAAACATAATCATTTTATATTCTCCTCTCGAGAAAATTTTACGTTGGTTATTTAAATAGATACGAGATCCCGGAGATGAGACGCAGTGCAGTCAGTGCAAACAGGGTACGTTGCCGGACGAAACACATTCGATGTGTCGGGACATCCCAGAAGAATACCTACGTGCGGAAAGTGGTTGGGCGATAGGTGCGATGTCTTTCGCTGCCACGGGAATTTTGGTAAATATCTTTTACATCCCTCTCGAGGCTAATATTCTGAAATTGAAAGAGTTTTGAATCTGAACATTTCTGTCGTATCTCAAACTGTGATAATCGTATCATGTATTTTTCACGTTATTTAACTATTTATAATGATTTATGTGTATATGTTTTATGCGAAAAAATAGGTGACATTATCTGTATTTGGGGTCTTCGTCAGGCATAATAACACACCTGTCGTACGTGCCTCTGGGCGAGAATTATCTTATGTTCTTCTCACAGGGATTCTATTCTGTTATCTTGTCACATTCAGCCTGATGTTTAGACCCACCGACCTGGTTTGCGCTATTCAAAGGTAAAAAAAGATCTGAATCTTTTGAAGTATATTCTAATGCCAACACGACAACATTAATCTCTCTGTTTCTACCAAATTATTACAGTTAGTTAGTTAATAAATTATATTTCTCGCATGCGATCAATGCTGCCCAAGTGAGAGTAATGGTTTTACATAATTTATAAATCTAATAATTTTCATCCGACTTATCTTCCTACTTTTTCTACATACAATTTATCATGGTATAGTAAGAATATAAAAAATTGTCTTTAAATAATGGTGTGGCGAAACGATGGCGAAAAGTTTAGAGAAAAATAACTTGATGAAAAATGAAGTAGTCGTATCTTTGTGCCGCATCAAGAACAAAACTAAAATCAAAATTAGAAATACGAGTTATAAGCAGAAAATATTCTTTCTGAATGTTAGTAGAATATTTATTGAAAAAAAGAAAGAACTGAAGTACAACTTTATCTCTGCTAACAGATTCGCCCCAGGCTTTTGCTTCACCATAGTATACGCGGCTTTATTAACGAAGACCAATAGAATTTCAAGAATCTTCAATGCCGGGAGTGCAAAGAGACCGTCCTTCATATCACCACGGTCGCAAATTATTATCTGCTGCGGAATGGTATCTGTGCAGATCATAATTAATGTAATTTGGATGATCATTGATCCTGCCAGAGCAATCCATCATTACCCCACGATGGAAGACAATCTGCTCGTATGCAACAACTACATCGATACTAGCTACATGGTCGCGTTTACATATCCCATAATATTAATAATTGTGTGCACTATCTACGCTATTCTCACGAGAAAAATTCCAGAAGCTTTTAACGAGAGTAAGCACATCGGTAAGTTTACATTTTTACCTGCCTCTTTCATATATCTCACGTATATCACATTAGTCGTACATATACTATATTCTCTTCTATAATCTGAAAAAAGCTTCGATAAACAATCAATTGCGATAAAAACAACACTTTAAATTTTACATGTAGTTTCTGATATGTAAATCCAATAATAATGTAATGCAATAATATTGTATCTGTTATTTGTCATAAATACAGTGTTCCTCCTACAAAGTTTCTTGTACAAAGAAATCATGATTGAATTGTAAAGATTTCGTCATATGACTTAATATGTAAATGCTATATCTTTCAATTATATAATAATAATACTTAACAAAGCAGAAAAAACAGCGTTATTAAAAAAATAACTTTCTAATCTAGGTTTAACGATGTATACAACGTGCGTCATATGGCTCGCTTTCGTACCTTTGTATTACGGTACCGGAAGCAACGTCGCATTGAGAATTACCTCGATGTCGGTAACAATCAGCCTTTCTGCATCCGTGACGGTGGTTTGCCTCTTCAGTCCAAAGGTGAAGCTCGACATTTTGAAAAGCTCGCGTTTAACAAAACGAACGTGATCGAATGACCAATTATTGCAATCCTTTATTGGAATCTCGGATGCGCCCAACAATTATAAGTGATGACAAATCAAATTGAATTAAAACAATCGCACCATATTTCAAACATTAAAAATTATTTTTTAATATTCCTTAAAATGTATGAGAAAATAAGACATTAAGAAATTAAAATTGAAAGCTTATAACTATTTTGATGCACAAAATGCACAAAATAAGAGAACTGATGCCTTCAACATGCTACGATATCGAATTTCATATCATTGAGTAAAAAGCTTTGCTTAATTTATCGCAAAATAATTCACGTGTAACTTTTGCATGTGCAGCTCTATATTATTTTAATTCGACCCGAGAGAAACGTTCGACCGACCGTAAGGGCAGGAAGACCGAATCCGACAAAAAGTTCGGCGATAACTGCCACAAATGCTTCAAGTATGATGGGACCGGTAACGGCAACGACGGTACTGACAGCTGCTACTTGTGATCAGAATAAAGCCATCAAGAAACATATCGCGTCCACCATGGACTGCTCCACTCAGAGCGAATGTAAGTACAGGCCCGAGCTCTCGATCCAATTCCCAGATTTGATTTGATAATCATTTTAATAATAATTTTAATCATTTTAATTTTTTTATTTTCCCATTTACATTGCATTATCCATATATATCACCCGCGGCTCTTTCGCGTTTTTGTTCGCAGGCTACGAATTGGAATTGAAGAATCAGAAAAACGGAGAATCGCTGACGACATGCGTCTCGCGATCAACGCAAACGACTGTCAACGAAAAAGAATTCGTGACTGTCGTGACAAGTAATAAAAAATCGCCGGACGTAATTGTGCCGGCGAGTAACAAAGAATCAATAAATAGCACGACAACGACGAAACGACTCAACAGCAATGCGAGAATAGGCAATGGACCGCTTTCTCAGAGCGACGTCTCTTTATAGCGGAAGATAGAACTGCCTATGGAATCGTCAGTATTAACTGTTAGTTTAAAACCGATCTCGAAGAATCCCGTTATCGTCTAATTTATTCTACTGTACATACGATTGGATCTACACTAACACACTTTTTCATCCTAATGAGGTAGGCAAAATATTCGTTTTGAAAATTATTTAAAAAAATAATATATCATCACAAACTTCTTATCAAGATCAGATTCAACAGCAAAATAATAACGATCAGACGCCAAAATTCCAGTCCAGTACTGTATACTTCAAATTATCCATATTGTTGGATTAATTGAGTGAATTTGAAGTAGAACAAATTTATTATACATATTGTACGACGTGCCGAAAATACGTATTCTAAGATGCACGATACGAACTTATTATCTTAAGTTACGTAAGATAATAAATAAGCATAAATAGGGATACAATGAAATAGTTTTAGAATAATAAAGATTGTTTTATTACTTGATTATGTAATATAAAATATGCGCTCAATGGAAGAAATATGTATAACTTTATTAAACGCATCTCTCATCATTTCATCTCGAATTTGTTGCTTGATAGATACATGACATAACGATATCAATTCTCTAGGAAAAATCTCTAAAATTATGATTCTAATACTAAGAACAAAAGTCATTACATTTATTTCGCTCGCAAACATATCTAACGAACAAAATAGATAAATAAGTTTAATGTTATATGTATTTTATTTTCTATTCTTTTTATCAAAAAACACTGATATGTAATTTTATTGACAATTCGATAGAGTACAATATTTTTAAACAACCTGAAATGAGGTGTTACAATTACAATTTGATTTATGTTATGTAACGCTTTAATTTATATATTTTACTATAAAAATTGCAACTTTTTTAATTTCAATTTATTAAATGTTATTAAATTATATTATAAGAGAGCTATTAATTTTTATTAAATTTACATATCTTTAAAGAAACCTCTTAAAATTTTCAATATTTTTATTTCATATTTTTATAACATTGTATTAATAATTAATTACAAAGTTATTTTGTATTTTATAAAAAATATTATGTCTCGATATATAAATTTCGACATTATTTGCTAATATATTAAATATTAAAAATTAAAATGTTTAAATATAATCTAACAACTTCTAACATTTTGTTAAAAAAAAAAGAATATATTTGTAATACATTTTAACAGATTTATGAGATAAATATGTAAAAAATTATTTTTAGTTTAAAATTACTTTTATTTGGTCAGATAGTAAATTCGTAAGTTTTCTAACAATTAGCATTTTTTAAACATAATATTCATACTGCTACATTCATTTTATTTAATTATACTGTAATATCTATTTGTAAATATGTACTTAGAAATAAATCTAATGTAATAC